GGTTCTCCCAGCCCCACCATTCACACAGCGTATGTTTAAAGAGACCCTGCCAGATGCTTGTACCGACAGGAAAACTGCCCGTGTGTCTGTTTTCTCCAAACTCCACCATGCAGCCACGTCCCTCTCCTTCTTCCCCCAGTTCTCCCAATCAGCATATTTGTATGTAAATAGAAGGGGGGGGTTCCCTCCTCCCCCTGGCTACCCCTCAGCATCCTCCAGGCACCAACAGCCGTGGAGGCAGCCCAGCTCTCCCTGCCTGGCCTTTTCTTGGCAAAAGGTTCACTGGGCGGATTTAGACGGAGAAATCAGCCCTACCCATTGGTGCTTTAGTAACCAGGCAACAGAGGGAGAGGCAGACAGGAAGCCAGCAACTGAGCCAGAGAGGACTTTGAGAAACCTTTGAATTTGGATTTGATTCAAAAGCATCCTGGGTAGGATTATTCCCTCTGGAAAATCAGCATCCACAACAAACAGTCTGGCAAACAGATCCAGGACCCCAAAAGGCCAAGCATCCCCGGACTGGATCATCTCAAAGGTCGCTTTAGAGCTGGCACTGATGGATGGCGGCGTCCCTTAGTTTCCTCAGAATTTTCTGATGAGGCCGAAGGAAGCTAATGGACAGGCCCTGTGGCCTATGGAGAGAGCGCGCTTCGAAGTTAAGAGGGCGTGGGTTCAAGATCCACCTGGCTGAGGGGCTCTGGGCAGGTCACTTGAACTCTGGGGTCTCAGGCCTCTGACCCCTGATCTGCATTGGCAGAGGGAGCTTCCTCATTGGCTCTCCCCGCACCAGTGAAATCACAGCAGGGTTCAGGGGAGACGACTCAATGGGTTGGTTGGTGAGGGGCAGCCGAGGAGCAGCTTTATGAGCCAGAGGTAACAGAGCAGACTCAAGGGGCCGCCTCTTCTAGGGGCAAGAGGCGACTAAGAAAGCTCCAAGAAGGCTGGCTTAGGAGGGGAGGCCTTGGCTTCAGATCCAGGCTCTGCTGTTTACTCCCCCTGTGATCTTGGCGAAGTCACGTCACTCGCTGGGCCTCAGTTTCCCCCTTTGTAAAACGAGCCATGTGGGGCCTGCTTCCAGCTTTAGTTCTCTGACACTCGGAGCCTCATCACTGTGGTGAGAGGAGCCAGAGTGTGTCAATGAGCTAGGGAAGGAAGGAGAACAGAGGGGTGTCCCACAGGTTGGTGCAGGCCCGGAAAGATTCTGGGAAACACTGGATTGTGGAAATGGCAAGGCCCTAGAGGAGAAGGATCATGGGGTCCTACATCTAGAGCTGGAAGAAACCTTGGAGGCCAGTAAGTCTGAACACCTCAATTTACAGATGAGGAAACTGAGGTAGGAAAGGCCAACTGCTTTGCACAATACCAAGATTTGCCCTGAGGATTCCTGACTTTAAGTCAAGCCACTACACCACGATCCCACCCAGAGTGCCTGCTTCAGCGGCTCCCGTGGCTGCCGTCGGTGGTACATGTCCGTGTCATCTCCCAGCCCTTCCATTCAGTCACCAGTCCTTGGCCGTAGTCTCTACCTTGGGCACCCCTGTCACCACTCACACTTGGCTAGAGTGGAACAGCTGGAAGACTGGACTATGTTACGTTGTAGCATATTATGTTAGATCGTAGGATAACGTATCATATATTATATTGTTACAATCATTATATCGTGTTATATAATATGTTGTTATGTTATATATTATGTTATATCATACAATATGATATATTATGTTGCTATATTGTCCTATATCATATTGTATCAGATCATATTGTATAGTATCACATTGCTATATTTATTATATTACGTTACGCTGTTGTGTTTTATTATATTATGTTATGTATAATATGATAGAATATTATATTGTTATGTTATATATTATATTATATCATGTCATGTTATATTATGTTGTTATGGTTATTATGATATCAAATTATCATACTAAGTCATATTATTACATTATGTCACGCTACATATCATGTTTTATTATACCATACTCTGCTATATTATCAATCCTATCTATCCCATCCCATTTATCATATAACAATCATCACATCATATTATTCTATTATTTTATATCATACTATATATTATACTGTTATACCATATTATCAGCCATATAATTTCATCTTAGAGCGTACCATATTTTATTATTTTGAATCATGTAAATTTATTTAGTGTTTTAAAGCTTACAAGGTGCTTTATGTAATGATCTCATCTGACTTTCATAACACCCAATCAATCAATCAGCAAGTATTGATTAAGCATCTACTCTGCGTCACGTGTCAAGTGAAACCCTGTCTTGCCCTGAGGACCTTACTGTCTAGCCAGGAGAGACAACACGCACGCTTAACATTGTCTAGGAACATACCCAACAGATCTCGGGTGATTTGGAGGGCAAGGCACCAGCACCTGGAGTTCACCAATAACACTGTGAGACGGGCACTACAGGTGGTGTTATTTCTATTTTGTGGAGGAGGAAAATGAGACCAAGACAGCAAAGTCACACTTCGCTTGAGAGGCAGAATGGAAGAGCAAACAGCGTGTCGGACTTGAGTCAGGAGACCAGGGTTCGAATCCTGCCTTTGTGTGTGTGTGTGGGGGGGTGGACTCAATGTCCAACCTAAGGTCCTTCTAGCTCCAAATCTGCAATCGCAAGGACTCACCTCTACCTCTATGAAGGTATGCAGCTTTTTGCAGGTTGAAGCAAAGGTTTCTGTTGTGCCAAATTCAAAGTACCACAGCCTGTTCTTCATCCTAGGGTGCAAAATAGAGAAAAAAGTGGGGCTTACTCAAAACAGCCTGGACCTGCTCCCAGGTGGACCCAGATGCTCCCAGGTGGACCCAGACACCCAGACCTTAAGCATTCGTGGAGGGAATGGCAGGCACTCATGGGAAAGAAGCATGCCCCACCTCATGAAAGCAACCTGGGACAGAGCCCCTCTGCCCCTCCTCTGGTTACAGCTCTGGTGTCATGAAAATCCTAGAGCTTAAAGGGGTCATCTAGGCCATTTCCCTGCACGATAGACACCCATTATATCATTAACCCAACAAAAGTCCATGAAAACTTCTACCTTCATGCCTCCAGTGATGATTAGCTCACAACCTCACAAGGTGGGTCTTACTATGAAGTTCCTTAGATTAAACTGGAGTTTGTCTACCTTTAATTTGAACCCACAGACACCATTTAATTTCTCTGAAATTAAAGCAGAATAAGTCTAATTGATCAGATCAGAAGCAGGAGAGAGTGGTTCTAAACCCCATTCTGTCTCTAATGAGCTGGGTGACCCTTAAGTAAGGTTGCTTCTCTGAGCCTCAGTTTCCTCAGCTATAAAATAAAGGAGCCAGACTAGATGATCTCTAAGGTTCTGTTCTAGCTTGGGAAGGCCATGATTCTGATCCTTTCTGAAGACAGAGATTATGTCCTTCCCAATGTCTTCTTTTCTCCGGACCAATTATCCGTAGTACTTTCAATTCAGCTCAATCAATCAATCAATCAATAAGCATTCATTACACATTTATCTAGTGTCAGGCACAGTGTCGAGTGCCGGAGATACAAAGAAAAAGGGGAAGCAGTTCCTGCCCTCAGGAAGCTTACATTCTATCGGGGAGACAACGTGCACATGAATAGGTAATTGATTCTCAAACTCCCTTGTCATATTCCTCTGGGTGTGCTCCAGGTCACCGATATCCTGTGGCCAAAATTGGACACAAGTCTCCAGAAGGGGATTGACCAAACCCTAGCAAGGAGGCTCTCACCTCTCTCCTTATGGGCAATTGGCTTCTCTTAATGCAGTCTTGTCTATTTCCAACAATGTCTTATGTGTTAGAAGAGCTGAGAAGGGAGTTCGTTGAGGAAGTGCATAATTAGAAAGGAGGCTATGGTTTGAGTAAAGGAAGCAGATAGACAGTCCGAGTACTCCCCTGGGACCCAATGATTGTAAGAAGACCTAGGAGAAGGCTTCCAGAATGTTGGCTAGATCTGAGGAGGAGGAGTGGGAATGGACCTGCGGTAGCATTGGCCCAGGGAACTCGCAGGAGAGGAAGTTCCCTCTACTGATGCAGGTTAGCACCTTCTCTACAACTAACAATCTTTAGAGAGTTGCCCTGGCTGCTGAGAAGTTAACCAACTTGTCTAACGTCATACAGCCAATATAAGTCAGAGGCAAGACTTGAACCCAGGTCTAACTGGCTTCGAGGCCAGCTTTCCCTCCACTATGCCAAACTGCCTCTCCTGGAAGGGCGTGAACCAAAATAATAAGAACTATTAAGAACAACAATAAGAACCAATAAAAGCTAAGATTTACTTAGAGGCCATGGACAGAACTGTGGATCTGGAGTCAAGGCAAGTCACTTAACTTTTCTGAGGCTCAGTTTCTTCATCTGTAAAATGGGGATAATAATAGCACCTACTTCCTAGGGTTGTTGGGAGGACCAAATGAGATAATATTTGTAGAGTCCTTTGCAAACCTTAAAATGTTCTCTCTGTCTCTGTCTCTCTCTCTCTGTCTCTGTCTCTCTCTCCCCTCTCTCCTGTTTCTTCTCTCTCTCTCTCTCCTGGTTATTATCACTTAACCTTACTTTAAAGTTTGCAAAGCACTTTATAAATATTTACTCATTTGTTCGTCCCAATAATACTGTGAGATAAGTGCTATTATTATCCCCATTGTCCCCATTTTATAGGTGAGAAAACTGAGCCTCACAGAAGTTCAGTGGTGTGCCCAGCAAGTTTTCTGAAGCAGTTTTCAAACATTAGTATTCTTAACTACACACAAAGGACTCTGTTCATTGACTATGGTATGGGGTGGGTCATAATCCGCACCATCGGAAACAATGAGAAAAGCTCTTGAAGGCATGGGACTATATTGTCACATTCATTTTTATGGCAACCATGTTACCCTGTTGACAGGGAAATACTCAAATACTCAATGGATTTGTGATCTCATCGATCTAGAAGTTCCCTCTAATGATGCAAATTGCCACCCATCCATGCCTGCCCACTCTCATCCATGTTGTCTCATAACTTCATCACTGGGGGGACCACTCAGTGTGTGGGATGGCTTCCTGGCTTTTCTCTTGGCAATAATAATGTTGTTCCGTTGTTTTTCAGTCATGTCTGACCCTTTGTGACCCCATTTGGAGTCCTCTTGGCAAAGATACTGGAGTGGTTTGCCATTTTCTTCTCTAGCTCCTTTGACAGATGAGGAAACAGAGGCAAACAGGGTGAAATGACTTGCCCAGGGTCACACAACTACTAAGTGTCTGAGTCGGCATTTGAACTCAGAAAATGAGTCTTCCTGACCCCAAGCCTGTTTCTCTACCCACTGTTAAGTGACTTAACCCTGAATGCCTCCAAAAAAAAAAAGACAACATTTAACATTTTAAATGATTGTTACCAATTTAATAGGCATAATGAAGGGGCATCTCAAGAGTTGTTTTCATTTCATTTTTCTAATTATTAGATAGTTTGAGCAGTTTTTCAAAATCATGAATAACATGTTTCTTATTTGGTTACTTATCCATCAAAAATGAATCTCACACTTACAAAATTAATCCAATTCATTACTAATTTTTGGATGTCAGATTTTTATCAGAAATATTATAAGCAATGATTTTCCTCCTATCTGTTTATTTTCTTTTTATTTTGGCTGCATTGCTTTTTGGTGTTGTACAAGAATAGTTTGGAGCATCAAATCTAGCATCAATCCTACTCATGGTCAGAGGGGTGGCTGAGAGCCTGCCTTTGGGAGCCAGAACCATGTAGTAGAAGAGCTCTGGACTAAGTGTCAAAAGACCAGCTATCCACTTACTTACTGGCCCTGTAACTTTGGGCAGGTCACCCAACAGCTGTGAGCCTTGTTTCTCATTTTCAAATGGAAAAAATGATATCTGCCCTCCTTACATTACAGGATTGCTTTAAGTCTGAAAAGTGATGATGTATGGGAAAGGGCTTTGGGACTTTTGGCCTGTATAATTACAAGGGATTCAACAGTGGATTAGGATTTAGGAAAGTGGACTGGATTTACGGAAGGGTCACATGTGCCATAAACCATAAGAGTCAGGGTTATCTTTCCCTAGTAATTCATTTTTCCTTCTTAACTCCTCTCCTTCTCTCCAGAGGGCCAGCACTTACCCAGCTACCAAGTCCTGCTTGGAACCTGGCTATCATCCTGGACTTTCCCCTGTCTCTCACCTTTCACTGCCAAACCCGAGGCCTGCCCCCTTAGTTGCCTTTGCTTCTGGAGTTAGGAGAATTATGGCCAGTTTTGCAGCTGATGACTCCCAGGTTAAAGTTGTGCAACCCCAAAGGAAGGGTTCAGACACTTGCCAGCTGTGTGAACCTGGGCGAGAGCCTTAGCCTTTCTGGGCCTCAGTTTCCCCATCTGTAAAATGAGGGGGCTGCACTTGATGACCTTCTATTTCTAAGTCTATGATCCTTGGTCGTATGTCTTTTCCTTAGAGGGTTCCCAGTTTCTTCTAGGATCAACATTGTCCTCAGTAGGTTAGCTCTTCAGATGGGTGGTTAAGACCCTCCAGAGGCCCTGGTGACCCTGACTGAGAAAGCAGCAGCTTCCCTTGAGGCCAGCAATATGCAGGTAATACTGATTTTCTTTTCTTTTCTTTTTTTGGTGAATTTTTCTAAGCCCCTCAGAGGCTTTCATGACTGTTGACTCATAGGAAAACAAGATGTCAGTGAAACAAGCAGAAATTCCCCTTGAGCAAAAATTTCAAAAGTCACGAATGTCCGGCCTAGATCCACGTAAGCAAAGAGGATGAAAAGAGAGGAAGCTGCTGAGTGGACAGAAGGAATCCCAGAACATCAGAAATGGAAGGGACTCCCTCCTCTATTACCCCCAGCCAGTGGTCATTCAGGCCCTACTTGAAGCCCTCCAAGGAAGGGGAACTCACCACCTTTCTCAGGCAGCTCCCCCCATTTTGGGATAGCACTCATCCTTTTTTCTGGCATCAAGATGATTTGAATCCACCTCTTTTCAATTTCTACCTATCTCTCCTAGTTCTGCCCTCAGGGGTCAGGCAAAACAAGTCTGATCCCTTTTCTGTGGCTTTCCAAATACTTAAAGACAGTTAAGATGTCCACCCCGCCCCCCCCACCCCACCCCAGCCATCTTTCCTCCAGGCTTAACAGGACTCTGCCAAGATTCCACATTAACATACAAAAGTGTATCAATTTCCCAAGAACTATTTTTTTTTTTGGTTGAATCCAATATATTTTAGTTGGGAATGGAAGGACTCTGCTCCCATGGTCTTTTGGTATAATGAATATCCTCTGCCCTTCTTCTGCTAGACCTCCTTTTGTGAAGGTGAATGGATAGACTTAAAGGAAAGGGCATCATTCCATCCCAGGAAATATCACAAGGGCAGTTAGGTGGTGCTACAGGGAGCCAGGCTTGGAGTCAGGAAGACTCACTTAATGAGTTCAAGTCTGGCCTCAGACGCTAGCTGTGTGACCCTGGGTAAGTCACTTCACCCTGTTTGCCTCAGTTTCCTCATCTGTAAAATGAGCTAGAGAAGGAAATGGCAAACCCCTCAAGTACCTTTGCCAAGAGAACCCCAAATGATGTCACGAAGAGTCAGATCCAACTAAAAACAATTCAATAGCAACAAATAAGAAACATTTTTGGTAAGCCTTGCCCAGTCATTCTTAGCTCTCAGTGGTGGTTGGCTGGTTCCATGGGAGAGGCCAGCAGGTAGGTTAGTCCAGGACCTTCTTGACCCTGGTCCTGGTTGACTTGGAC